TGTATGATGGAAACCAACACTTCTGTCTGCCCTGAGATCTACATACTTCCGATGAAGCATGGTGGTGGTAGCCTCCTGTTGTCAGAAAGATTTTCACTGGTAATAACAGAGAAACTGGACAAGATTCATGACACCTTTGATAAAATAAAAGAGGGCAATTGTTGAGGAAAAAGCTTCTACAGTCTGTAATAAACCCGAGTTTTAGGTTGAGATTCACATTCGAGCAGGACATTTACCCCCATTTTTTTCATTCATGTAGCGGGTTGAAAAAACTGACAGATCCATGTATAAACACACGCAATTTTGATGCAGGGATAATTTTCCCCTGTCACTATTACCGGATGCTCCTTTTCCATCGGGGAGCCTGGGACTGCTGTAAGCAATCAATTTGGCTGTGCACAGCAGAGATGAAGGAACATTCATTCCCCAATCTGCTTTTTGACTAATGAAGCAGAAAGCGAGGAGGTTTCATCACTTATGGTTTTGGTGCTGTGCTTCCCTGGCTAGTACTGGCCACAGAAGCATCCGATCAAACCGATCTGCATTTGATCAGGTGTGTTGAAGTACAGAGAGTAGCTGTTACTGGCCAAAACTATCACAAGGGGTAGGGTTCATCCCTTGTGACAGCAAGAAAGTAAATAAAAAAAATAAAAATAAAATTATAAAAAATAAAGCAAATTCTTGTGCCAGAGCTCGTATTTAACTCAAACTGGTAACCTGTAAAGGCTTTTAAAGTGACAACAACTATGGGCAATTTTAATTACTGTAGGTATAGCAATTGCACAGGCGTGCACAATTTTAAATCTGGACATGTTTGGCATCTCTTTACTCGATGCAACATCATCTTTTATATTTTACCAAAAAATGTTGTATTATATTGTGTCCGTGTGCACTAAAATTAATTTTTTCTTTTCCTGCAAATCTGAGTTTGATAAATGGCTGTGCAACTATCGTGTAGCATAAAAAATTGCAACAGCAACCATTTCATTCTCCAGAGTCTCTGCTTTCAGAAAATATATACCGTTAGGGGGTTCTGATTAATTTTCTTGTAAAAAAATGCAGATTTTAATATGTACAGTCATGGCCACAAATATTGGCACCCCTGCATATCTGTCAGATAATGCACCACTTCGCCCAGAAAATTGCTGCAATTATAAATGTTTAGGCATTCTTGTTTTTCTTTTGTTTGTATTGGAATGATACATAAAAGTGGAGAAATAAAAAGCCAAATCTGACACATTCCACACAAAACCCCAAACATCGATCGGACATAATTATTGGCACCCTAAATTTAATATTTGTTAGCACAAACCTTGGAAAAAACAAATGAAATCAATTGCTTCCTGTAATCGTCAATGAGTTTCTTACACCTCTCTATTGCAAGTATCTGCCTGTCCCCTCCCTGATGTGTCAGCGGGAGAATATCCTCATCCAATTTTTCCATCAATACTTGTCATGTATTATTCCATGTGGTGTAATTTGTAAGTGTTTGAGTAACCAGCTGTTCCTTACATTTTCATAATACTATGCTATTTTATGGTTATTGTTTCTCTTATATGCTGTCATGTTTCTAGGCCTGACATATTTAGCCCCTGAAGAAGGAAATCAAAGTTCCGAAATGCGTTGGTATGTCTGAATAACATCACTGTACAAGTTTGGTTGGGCTGCTTGCCCATTGGATATTTGATGTGATACAGACTGTCAGGCTCAATGCACACTGTATATGTTTTTGTATATGATACAGGAATTATTGTATTACAATTTACTACATAAAATCTTTTGATTCGTTTTTATTATGCTTTTGTGTTATAATAAACATTATCGTTTTATACACTTTTTGCATACTCTTTGAGGTTTTTGCCATTTAAGTCCCAGGAGAATATTTCCAGTTTTTTCTCTACTGGAATTTTGGACCACTGTTTTTTTCTCCAACTGCTCCAAGTCTCTCAGATTGGAAGGGTTCCTTTTCCCAACTACTGTTTTGTGATCTCTCCACAGGTGCTCTCTGAAATCAAGATCTGGACTCTGGCCAGTTCAGTATTATCCAACGCTTTGTCTGAAACCATCTCTGGGTGCTTTTTGACGTGTACAGTGGGTCATTGTCCTGCTGTAAGACCCATGACCTCTGACGGAAACCCAACTTTCTGACACTGGGCCCTACATTGCCTCCCAGAATTCTTTGGTAGTCTTCAGATTTCATAATGCCATGCACACGTTCAAGACATTCAGTGCCTGAAGCAGCAAAACAACCCCAAAACATCAGTGAACCTCCACCATGTTTCTTTAAAGGTCTCATTTCTTTTTCTGAAAACAGCAGAATGACAGGCTTTACCAAAAAGCTGTAAGTTTGTTTTGTTTGTCTACAGCACATTCTCCCAAAAGGATTTTGGCTTCCACAGGTAAGTTTTTAAGATTGGAGTTTGCTCCAATCTGGCTTTTTATGTTTCTGTGTCAACAGTGGGGTCCTCCTGGGTCTCCTACCATAGCGTCCCTTTTCATTCAGATGGTGACGTATAGTATGAGCTGACACAGATGTTTCCTGTGCCTGAAGGTCAGCTTGAATTTGTCTGGGAATTGATCGAGGTTCTTTATCCACCATTTGAAAAATCCGTTGTTGCAATCTTTGACCAAGTTTTTCTCTTTCATCCAGGGAGATTAGCTACAGTACCATGGGATGCAAGCTTCTTGACAATGTTGTGCACAGTGGACACGGGAACATTAAGATCTGTTAGTTGATACAGGTGAGTTTAATTTCAAATTACAGGAGCATCACAAACTTGGAATGCAAATATTTCTTACAATCTTGAATAGGTGCCAATAATTTTGTCCAGTCCATTTTTGGGGTTTTGGATGGAAGGTATCAGATTTGGCTTTCTGTTTCTCCACCTTTTTTGTATCATCCCAAAACAAACAAAAGAAATAAACATGAGAATGCCGAAACATTTGTAACTGCAACTATTTTCTGGGTGAAGTGGTGCATTATCTGACAGAAATACAGGGGTGCCAATATTTTTGGCCATGACTGTACTGTATGTGAAAAATGTCATAAGTGGTAGTTTTTTTCCCAAATCCCTCCTACCTGATTTGCTGGGTTATGCTCAATAAAACCAAAGAAAACCCTAACATTAACTATTCCTAAAAATGTTCCTTCCCTCTTCCTGCTGCATACCCTGTGTAAAAAAGATCTGTGTACTTACCTATTTTTAATTTGCTCTGTCCTGGTCACATGATCCTGCAGTTTCGGCTCCCCTGTGTCAGACAGTGGCTGCTGCTGGGGAGAGGAGGGAGCACCGACAAAGGACCCTATGGTTTATGTCACAAATTCACAGTTGTCAAGCGTTTTTGCCTAATAAGGTATCTGCCAGTAGCTGGTTACATCCCTTAGAAGCAGAAGATTAAAATTGCCTGAGTATCTTTACCCTAAATCAGGGCTTGACAACTCCCAGGTGCCAGGCCACCTGGCTTTTGTCAACCCATTCACTGTTGCACCAGGCAGACCCGGAATGGTCATACAGCACACCAGGGTCAGGGCCACATGTCCTTGTGGGGCCCAAAACAGCTGCGACTTTTTTTTTCATTTAACCACTTGACAACGGGCTATAGCCAAATGATGGCTATAGCGTGGTTGTCCAGTTCTGGGGGGGGCGTCATATGACGTCCTCCCAGAACGTGCCCTCCCGAGCGCCCCCAGCGATCTCTGTGATCACTGTGTACTAAGGATACAGTTGATCACGTGATGTGGTAAAAGGCCAATCACAGCGGCCTTTTACCACATGATCAGCTGTGTCCAATGACACAGCAGATCACCAGGTAAATGCAGTTGCCGGTTGTCGGCTGCACTTTCCTCACGCTGTTACAGCGTGAGGAAATTACTGCCGATAACCGGCAACTGTCAAAAAACAGATCAGCACTGAGCATCAGGGCAGTGATGATCAGTGCCCTGATGATCAGTGCCCAGCAGTGCCACCCACCTGTGCCCAGCAGTGTCACCCACAAGTGCTAAGCAGTGTCACCCACAAGTGCCAAGCAGTGCCACCAACCTGTGCCCATAAGTGCCCAGCAGTGCCACCCATCTGTGCCTAGTAGCGCCACCCACCAGTGCCCATCAGTGCCCCCCATCAGTGCTGCCAGTCAGTGCCCAGCAGCGCTACCAGTCAGTGCCATCAGTCAGTGCCACCCATCAATCAGTGCCACCCATCAAACATCATCATTGCTGCATATCAATGTAGCATCAGTGCCACCTAACAGTGCTGATCAGTGCTACCTTTCCGTGCCACCGCATCAGTGCCACCGATCAGTGCTACCTATCAATGCAGCTTCATCAATGCACATCAGTGAAGGAGAAAAATTACCTGTTTGCACAATTTTTATAATAGAAACAAATAAAATCTATTTTTTTTTTCAAATTTATTGCTCTTTTTTGTTTATAGCACAATAAATAAAACACCCAGTGGTGATTAAATACCACCAAAAGAAAGCTCTATTTGTGTGAAAACAATTATAAAATTCATATGGGTACAGTGTTGCATGACCGCGCAATTGTCATTCAAAGTGCGACAGTGCTAAAAGCTGAAATTGGCCTGGGCAGGAAGGGGGTATAAGTGCCTGGTAGGCAAGTGGTTAATACAGCGTAAGGGAGGGTTATAACCTGTCAGTTTTATTTTTGCCATTTGTGTCCCATTGGTGAGATTTACCTTCACTTCCTGTCTCATAGCTGAAACAAGAAGTGAGAGAAAATCCCTGCAAATTAATTGAAATCTCTTGGTGACCCCCAGCTCACCAGAACTAGTGTCCCCATTGGAAGAAATCCCATCTATTACTTTTCTTTTACTTTCAGTATAAATTGATAACAGTAAACAGGACAAACAGTAAGAGGGAATCTCCCTAACGGAGAAATAGACAGCAAAATGTTCTAATCCATAGCCCCTATCCAAACTTAAAGAAAGTTTAGTCTTTAGTTATACTTTAACTTCTGAAGTTTAGCTAGGAATATAACATTTTCACAAACTGCCAAAACAAAGTGTGGCATTGGTTCCCCCAAAACCAAATGAATTGCTTAATGCTACACATCTCTTTCCAGGCTTCCACTGTTGGGCTTTCAGAGGGGTATAATTAAGGTCAAAATCCGGTTCTGTCCTATCAAGGTTCAGAGTAGGTGGTATGATCCCATGATAGCAAGACAGAACCGTAAAAGCTGCTTCAATAGCACCTGATGCACCCAGCAAATGTCCTGTAGCACCTTTGGTTGCAGATATGCCATTGAATAAGCATGGTTTCTAAAAAGTCTTTTGATAGCTTTGTTTTCAGCTGCATCACCAAGAGGAGTAGAGGTGGCATGAGCATTTATGTAGGATATATCTTCAATATGTAACCCTGAATCTGCGATGGCTGCTTTCATGCACCTAGAAAAAGAAAAATAATAATAATTAGGACAGGGACTCTTGAAAGACAAAATTGCACTTTTAGACTGAACTGTAAAATCTGCCAGTGTTTTTTTTTTTCCTGTGTCCTGGTTTCCTGCTCATATTACACATAAGATATGTAGGTGTTCTCTTTGGGCTTTTTCACAGAGGATGGTAAAAACAGGCAGTAAAGCTGACCAGCTTAATTCTACCATTGCAGTACAATGAAGAAGAACACACGCTGCAGCCGCAATGCTTTGCTTCGTTGCTCCAGCAAATATAACTTGACTTGCAGAGTCTGACAGGCAGCCCAGCCTGTAAAACACACCCATTAAGGTCAATGGGAGCACACTGCAACTGCAAACCAAACACTTGGCTTGCAGTTGCAATGTGGTATTTTAATATGAAATCCCCCTTGAGATTTAAAAAAGCAGACATTCACGATGCCACAGGATCCCCTACTGAAAGCCTGGCAGGGCAGTTGCTGCTCTACCACCCTCTGAAAAGTGATCCACCACAGATCATCTTTTAAAGGGTGGTAGATACTGAGTCCTTTGTGTGATATCTGTATGTAAGTGCAATCAGTATTCTAGCTGAACAATGCAACAAAAAACACATGTAAGGATCAACGTCTATGAAGCAAAAGTAATTTTTTTTGCCCAAGGGCTTAAGGGGCAGTTTATGTCCACATCTGTTAAGCTTAACCATAGATTCATTTGGACATATATATGAACTATTCACAAAGGTAGCCAACGGCAAGTATTCTGACTCCAACTGTTGTATTAGTGATTAAAAAAAAAAAACAATCATAAAATAAAGTGAGCGCTTCCTAATATAGCAGCTGGCACAGCAAGGTAACCAAATAAAACCCCAAAAAAACAATAACATATAGTAAAGTGCAGCGCTAAATAATCAATTGTATGGTCACAAATGAGGTCTTTAGTGTAGGTAAGTCCGTGAACATATGTGGTAATAACATCCGAGTGAGCCAGAAGATCAGGGTGGTAGTGCTTGGGAGAGGTGGTAAAATTGCGCACTTACCAGATGCGCATAGGATATGGGCATTAATATATCCACCTCGGGAAGAGGTATGGTAGGAAAGGGTCCTCCTTCAAAGAATGGGTTGATCCCCCTCTGAAGACATGCTTTAGCACGAAAGGCCTCAGGAGGCTCAATACACTGCCGTCACACCGCCGGAGCCACGAGTTGGTCCAGCGGCCATCTTATTTAAAGGGTCAGTCTCTCCTTCTTTCTTTTTTTACTTGTTATACTCACCTTTATCTACAATAAAGCTATTTGAATATACTACACTGTGGGCACCTTTTCTATGGCTTCTTTATGGAGCTATTAAGTTACAGAGTCAGTGGAGTTTTGCTGAATGACACAGTATCCAGAGGAAGGGAATCCCTGTAAGCAGGTTGCAGACCCAGTCTAACCTAAAGGAGACCTCTGGATTTACAGCCTTCACCCACTTACCGCTGTGCTGCCCATTCTTTGAAGGAGGACCCTTTCCTACCATACCTCTTCCCGAGGCGGATATATTAATGCCCATATCCTATGCTCATCTGGTAAGTGCACAATTTTACCACCTCTCCCGAGCACTACCACCCTGATCTTCTGGCTCACTCGGATGTTATTACCACATATGTTCATGGACTTACCTACACTAAAGACCTCATTTGTGACCATACTATTGATTATTTAGCGCTGCACTTTACTATATTTTATTGTTGTATTAGTGACTTATCCCTTGCTGAGCCCTTTATGTCTGGCCTGTGATACATTCACCATGAACAGTCTTTATCAGACAGCTGAACTCACCAAACACCCTTTTCTCATCAATGAAGGTCTTTTGTTCCAAGCAGCTTGCTTACAGCAGACAACAAGATGTAGCAGATGAATAAAAGGACAGTATTTGCAGGTCAAAACATGGTAATGTGTTCCCCCATGAGAGCAAATTAACATGTCCCTGTGAGACTAGCAGCCATATATATCTCCTAGATTGTAAGCTCCAAGGAGCAGGGCCCTCCTATCCCTCTTGTATTGAACTGTATTGTTGCTGTATTGTCTCCCGTTATATTGTAAAGCGCTGAGCAAACTGTTGGCGCTATATAAAATCCTGTATAATAATAATAATCGTATAAAGCATTGCAAGGAGAATGGGAAGTACATTATAAAAATGGGAGGGAACACTGAAAAAGATGGAACCCTAACCAAAATGACGAAGAGATGGCAGTATATTAACCAAATTTACTGAAGCCAATAAACAATGGCTTAAGGAAAGTCGCAATTCACAGTAATATGAATAGTAACCATGATTATGCATTGTATTATATTTTCACACAATAAGTGTAACAGCACAGCGAGGGTCTGTGATTCTTACAGATGCATACTCTTTGTGAAAATCTGTACCCTGTATGAGTGAATGGGTGGTGTTGCTGCTGTTCACATGTAACTGCTGATCTGAGTGCTTACATGTGATTAGGACCTCTGACCAAGCCCTTGACATAGACAGTTTGGGGTTGATTTACTAAATCTGGAGCACTCAGAATCTGGTGCAGCTGTGCATGGTGGCCAATCAGCTTCTAACTTCAGTTGGTTCAATTAATCTTTGCCAATAAAACCTGGAAGCTGATTGGTTTCTAGGCAGAGCTGCACCAGATTTTGCAGTCTCCAGGTTTAGTAAATAACCCCCTTTGCGCCCAGAGATGGAGGTTCTGGCTTGTCAAGAGGTTTCAGCTAATCGGCCAGCGTGTATGCAGTCCAGATGCAGAGTTTAGCCACATCTGAATGCTGTATTCTAGCTGCACTTTGGAAGAAGCCGTAAGACAGGGCTTGCTTACCATTCCTATCTCATAGACACTATCCATAACTGATGTGTACAATTGTAGATAATATTTCTAATGATCAAAGACTGATCTCTGCGCATCAACACTGGAAACCTGCTAAAGATAGGCTTGGGCCTGCAGTGAAACACATAACAAGGAGTTTCAGAAGTAGTCGTCCTTTCAATACATCCATAGCTGCTGGAGGTTTTCATTATCCTGAAAGCTTCGATTCCTGGACTATTCTCAGTATTATAGATTTATTCCTGGGTGAAAGATTACAATCTTTTCCAAGAAATTGCTGCTTTTTGATAGCAGCATTTCGTATTCTGCTGTGGTTCAGAGGGAAGGCTCGATTAAACATGAAAAGGAACAGAGCCAATTAAAACACCGCACAAGAAACTTAAAAAGATGAATGAAAGTATTGTTCCCATGGAAACAGCAGATATTTGTATGCAGTGGCTAACGCTCAAGACGAAGCAAGATGCCACCAAAACTACAGACTATAAGGAAGAACATAGTGCCAGGTAACCAGAGAAAAACTGAACAGGTAGAATCTGGGGACCCGAGGATGAAACTATGAAAAGACTTAAGCAGGCCATACATGGGTCGAATTCCAAACGATTTTTCGATCGAAAACATTGTTCGTTCTGTAATCCGATGGTGCCACCAATGATTTTGAAAATCGGAGGTTTTTCACAAATTTTCCAGCATGCCCAAAATGGGGAGGAAAATCGTCCGGTGCCATTGCCCCACTAACAGAGCGAAAATCGGCGAGTTATCTTTTATAGGTCCGATTTTTGAACTAAAAATCGTTTGAAAATCGACCCATGTATGGCCGGCTTTACAGCCCATTTCTGCAAGCCATTGTCACGTTGTGTTAACTATAGAAAGTGTCTGTTTTCCCAGAGCAACTTTTTATAGCCCCTGAAACCCCTTGCTGCTGCTGTTGCCTGGGAGCTCTTTAAGAGGGTCTTAAAAGAGGAACTTTACATCCCTTACATAAAAATCACAAGCAGAGGGCACGTTTAGAGATGTTTGGTAATGGTAATGTACAAACAGACACTAACCCCTGGATCACATATATGCGGGCATGCGGGCCGCATTTTGCGTAGACACAAGAGCCCATTCATTTGAATGGACTCCCGTGCCCTGTGACACGCAGGGAAGAAGTCCCAGCACTTCTTCTGAAAACGCAGCCCACACAGGAACCTCGGTTCCCAGTACGGTTGTGTTTTCCAGTGCAGGCGGCGTACCATTAGAACTAATGGCAAGCACCCGTGGGTCTGCATTTTTCTGTGCGGGTGGTGCGGCTGCACAGATTTTCATGCGGATCCGCAGCAGCACTACCCGCACATATGTGAACCTAGCCTTAGAGATAATTGTATGCCATTTATTCTTTGCATTCCTTATTTTACTTTTCCTGCCCATTCTTCTCACAGTGGCCATTTTCACTAATGGCAGATTAACCCCTTGGCGCCGGCGCCTCCTAGCCCTTTAAGGGTTTCAGAAGCAGGGAGGCGGGGCGGGGTTTGGGGACATGTGACCGCCATGACACGCCGTCACAGTGGTCACATGATCGGGAAAGGTCTCGATCGAAAGAGGAGATCGGGACCTTTCTGTGAGTACCGGACATGTGTGCCGGGAGCGTGCAGGGTGCATGCTCTCAGCACATGTTTTTTTTTTTTAATAGAGCACAAATGTGCAGCCGCCCGGCATCTAGGCCCAGACGCCGGGAGGCTGCACATTTGCGTTCGGCTGGCGCCAAGAGGTTAATCCATCTCCCTATACTTCTGGGAATTCTTCCTAGAACTCTGGGTGTGCATCCTAAACAATGTGACAATAACTTCCCAGGATGCATCTCTGGAAGCCTGGTTACATCACCAGTGCCTCACCCAAACAGGAAGTGGAAAAAACATTATTGCAAATAAAAGAAAAAAAAAAAAGTTCAAAGCCCAACTCCAAGAAATTTCAGTCATCCCTTGCAGCCGGGCTGCGCCGCACTGCGTGGGGTTATTGCTCATTTAAAGGATAGGTTCACCTTTTATAACATTTTACACCCATACTCAGGGTGTAAACATGTAACATGTTACTGCTGCAGGTGCCTCCTCCCCAGAGTCTCTGCTGTGAGAGTAGATTGGGGATCTGTCACAATTCAAATAAGACGTGGCCGTG